AATTTTACCTTTTCCATAAAATTCCCATAAAGTCCCAATTAACACACGATTCAACTCTCCTAATATAGTAATAATAGGATTCAATAAAAATTTCATTTGAGAAACATAAACATTTGCCTTATTATAATATTAAAGTCCTACATGTTCTTGTCTACGCATAGTAGGATTTTGAAAGCAACTTATTTTACCTAATATTGTTGTGCAACTCAAGTGGTAAATAAAAATGATTATGGGTAAATTACACTAATCTCATTCAATAGTCTCACTAATTTAGCATTTTTTTGAAGATAAACAAACTATAAAATACATAAATTAAAAAAAAAAAAAAAGTCAAGCATTTTACTTTAGCGTACAAATTAGATACATTAATATTGCATCTCATAAATCATTATTAAAGACAAACCAAAAAAAAAAGAAAAAAGTCAAAGGCCTTTTTTTTTTTTCTTTAGGATACAAATTACAGAGGTTTCTCATTCTTTAGCTTGAACTGGCCATTTGTATCTCATACTTAGCCATGATAGTAGTGGTGTCCTTGTACCAATGTGTATTACTTCCTTCACTGCTTGTGTAGTCTGAACTGTTTGGTAGATTCAGCACATTCGCCATGGAATACAAATAATGGAATGGTTTAGGAGGTGCCTTCACCTCCACTTCTCCCTCCAACATTTTCACTACAACACTCATCGGCGGCCTTTCCTGGGGCGAGTCCTGAACACACCACAAAGCCACCATTGCCATTCTCTCTGCTTTCTCTCTATTATCCTCTTCGATTCCACACGACAATGTCATTGCTCCCAACTCGCCTTTCTCAAACTCATCCCAAACATGTTTTGGAAACCAATCCATGCTCTCATCAGCCCCAACTTTAGTATTCCTCCTCCTTCCTACTATCTCAAACAAAAGCATACCAAAACTATAAACATCACATTTATGTGTAATGGGATAGTTCTTTAGAAAAACCTCCGGCGCTGAGTAACTGGGAGTCCCTCTATATCCTACGGAAGACACGTGTGTTGTCTCTATTGCAAAGCTTTGCCAATCCGAAATCAGCGACTTTGGGGAAAAAATTGGCATCTAACAGAACATTTCCGGGCTTTATGTCATAGTGAATGATCCTCTGTTGACACTCTTCGTGTAGGTAAGTAATACCTTTTGCTGTCCCAATCGCGATTTCATGAAGCTTTACCCACTCAATTGCTTGTGTATCGCTAAAAAAGTGTTTATCTAGTGATCCATTTTCCATGTACTCGTACACTAAGGCGCTCATTATGTGATCGTAGCAAAATCCATATAACCTAACCAGATTTATATGGTATGTTCTTCCAATAGTACTCACCTCTGCCATGAATTGTTCCTCAGCTCCTTTATCTAAGCTCCTATTGAGGACCTTGACTGCAATCTTAACTCCATTTGGAAATTGGCCTTTGTAAACAACCCCAAAACCTCCCAAACCCAACCTTGTAGCGTAATTAGTTGTGAAACTACATAGTTGTTGGGCTGTAAATCTAACCGGTCTCTCCTTCGCCAAGTCTTGGAGGAATCTCTCCATTGTTGGCACACCCATTTCCCAAACTTGAACCATATTTAAGGTCGGTGGTGGAGCCACAACTGCTCGTAATTCTGAAACAATTGCTCTTCTCGCTCTCCTGGCGCAAGCCACTGAGATAAGGACGATGACTACAAGTACTACCAGAGACACTATTATGCCTGTAAATTGAAAATAAAATAAAATAAAAATTATATTTTTTTTCTATATTATTAAATTTTATTTTTTTACAATTTGTACTTCATGAACGAACTTACCTGCTGCTGTAGCCCCGTTGCCCGAAGGAGGAGGAGGAGGAAAAGAGTAATCTGCAGGTAGATTTTCTCCGGACACAGGGCCCGGGGACATCCCCATGTCCATCTAAAATACCAAAAACTTCCCAATTTATAGGCTTGGCCCCCTTTAGCTGTATGGTTATGTCATTGGCATTACATAAATATATTAGGAAGGCTATGATATACATTATTTTTTATAATAAAAAAATTGAATTTTTGTGGTGTTAATTCTTAATTATTTTGGTTACACTATGATAGGAAAAATCATTAAAAAAAATTATGACTATTATCATCAAAGTCATTATAAACTATTTGGAAAAATTACAGATCAGGGTCAATTTTCAAAAATAATTTCAAATTAGTGGTAAACTTTATCAACTTTAATAATTAAAACTATAAACTCTTTCATGAATTTGCAAATATTTTGTGAAGTTTCAATTGATTTGCAATTTTTCCAAATTATTTTGTTTCTCCTGTTGTACTTTGACTATCTCTTCTATAAAATATATAAAAATAAAAATAAAAATAAAAAATTCTCTATTTTTTTTACACCTCTTTTCTTAAATAATAAAAAAAATCACTAAAATAATCATTACGTAATAGTTGGTACTTGTGAAAAAAAATTATATTAAGAAGAGGATGAGACTCAGTCAAGATCATGTGCTTGACAAAGAAGACAATTACCACTTGAACAACTCATACTATGTATATATTCTTCTTTGTCATTTTTCTTATACTATTATCTTTTTCGAATTGCATACGCATTACGTGTACAAACCGCTATATATATATATATATCTTCATGCTTGGCCCCTGAAAATGAAATCTTGATTCCATCCATGTCTATTTAGAATAGATAACACTTGAAAATTCAGCCAAACCAACATTGAAGAAAAGTGAAGACAAACATGACTCTTTGATTTCTTGGGTTGTCTAATGAGTTTTGACATTTATCATGCATTTGTTTTGGTGGAAGCTGAGTATGAAAATTATACATTCAGCAAACTTAAGCCCGTCACTAATGGCCTAATTAGGCCCATACTTGACCAGGCCCACTGGATTAGAGATACGATGCCGAGTGATCTATGCCCTGATTAGGTGACACGTCGAGAAACAATCGCTGAAAATTAAAGAGCATTCATGTCAACTACAAAGGTCAGTTCAACATGACTATCCCAATCAAAGTGGGCCTAAACTGTCCCTTTCTGGAGGTGTAATAGGGACATGGATCCTGACATTGTAGTAATGATGGTGTAGGAGAGGGTTCAAGAAAGGAGTTGGAAAATTCGAAGATCGAATTCTCTAGAATATGATGAGAGGCTTAGATTCTTCAATCCCCATGTAGGAGAGGGTTCAAGAAAGGAGTTGGAAAATTCGAAGATCTTCGAAGATCCTTGAAGAACAACTTCGAATTCTCTAGAATATGATTGAGAGGCTTAGATTCTTCAATAATCTCAACTTAGGAACACAACAACAAAGGAGATGATGGACATAAAAGATTGGGTGAAGAAGAAGGCAAAATGGCTAGAGAATAGAATAATGGCAAGGCTCTCCCATTGATCTCCCACTTTCACTCTCAAGGTTGATAATGGAGAAGGGAAATTAGTTCTTTCCCAAGAGTTAAAAATCTCCAAAATCCATCCCTTGTAAAGCTATGGGTGGGTGCTATTTATAGGCACCTCATGATGTAGGATGGAGCCTATGTGCAAGGCACATGGGGGATATTTTCTCTAACCACCTTGTCCGAGGGGGTGACCTCTCCGAGGAGGTGACTTCTCCGAGGATGAGAAAACCCCGAAGAGGAGATCACTCCCTCGGCGAACCCTTCTTCTTAGCCACACCTAACCAATGATCCCCAATCATCCCAAAGGGTCAGGGGTAGTCCCAGAGGACGTCCTGCCACAAAAATATTGCCGAGTCTCATTGACCCCCTAGGGTCGTGCCACCTCGACCCGGGTATAGGCTAGTTTAACCGAAGAGTGAATTTATCTCCACTAACCGTACTCGGGATCGGGTCCTTTGTTCGAACTCCATTACGCCCATGGTTCTGGTGCGTAGATCCCAGAAAGCTCCGAGCCCGCAAGTGTTCTGGGACTCATTGACGGAGCGACTTCTAGATTGTGTCTGAATCCGTTCGAAGCCAAGTGTTTCGGACCTCTAGGTTACCCTTTCGAGTCCGAATGCCTCGGATCTCTAGGCTTGCTTAATCCCCTTTCGAGTCCGGGCCTGAGTAAGTCTTTAGGTTCGTGGATCTGAACCCTTTCGAGTCCGAGTACCGTGGATCTCTAGGCTTGCTTAATACCCTTTCGAGTCCGGGCCCGAGTAAGTCTTTAGATTCGTGGATCCGAACCCTTTCGAGTCCGAGTACCTTAGATCTCTAGGCTTGCTTAATACCCTTTCGAGTCTGGGCCCGAGTAAGTCTATAGGTTCGCGGATCTGAACCCTTTCGAGGCTTAGAGCCATTTAGCCCATTTGATGGTGATAAATTCGAGCCCACCAATCTTAGACTTGCGATAAATTCAGGCCCACCAATCTTGGACTATTGGGCCTAATTAATTTAATGGGCTCAAATTAGCCCCTCTTACACCAAGCATTTTTGCAATTTATTTCATCCACAATTTTTACTCTATTACATCTAGCTTTATGAATAATTTTTACACAATAGAACAATATTTATGTACTGTTTGACTATCTTATTGTTGTTGGTGGCCATAGCGAGTGTTATCAATTATTTCATGTTTTCTTAAACGTCAACACCAATGTATCACTTGTAACCATGCACTATTTGAATTTTAACTAAAAATTTTGGCTGAAGGTAAATTTAAAAAAAAAAAAAAAAAATCTTCAAAACAGGAGGGAAAAAAAAGAGAAAAAGGGAACAATGCCATCTTTCATTTTCATACACCAAATCACCAATAACAAACAGTATATGCTAAATTAAGGGAGGATACACATTTATTGAGGAACATTCTCTTCCTGTTTGGGGGGTAAAAAATCAAAACATGTTTGCATTATTAATAAAGGAAAGGAACGAAAAAGGAATATAAGAGAGAAACAAAAAATGGAAAGGAAAAGAGGAGGAAAATGAAAGAAAATAATAAAGGGAGAGAGAAATAATTATGAGAAGTTTTAATTTCCTTTCCCCACTACTTTGCCAGGAAAAATTGGTTACCTGAAAGTGAATAAAAATTCTCAGTTACAACAATTATCATTTCCTTAATTTTTCAAGACAACCAAATGGCAAAATAAATCCCTCCTAATTTTCAACAAATTGTGACCTGTTGTTGACATCATAATATGATTTTTTTTTTCTCTTCTTTTTTTCTAACAAATACAAACAATTAGACAAATATGCAAAATGTCTTTCTTCGCTTCAACCCGTGGGAAGATATATGGCAGAGTTGGAGATCATCTGCAGGAAATGGAAATACAACAAAGAACACACTAAAAGAAAAAGAAATAAAGAAAAAAGAAAAAGATGACAGACTCAAAAGTTACATTAAACTACAATGTTGAGACTTCTTAACCGTGGTGCTAAATCGTGGCACAAAAGCCCTCCAAAAATCACAGCAAAAAATCACCCATCACTCGTCCATGTAAAAGCCAGAAGAACAATGGTAAGTGTGGAGAAAATGGTGGCGCCAGAGAACAACCACATAGCCCGGCTCGTGCTAGTATGGTGGATCTCTTGACTGCCCAACTCAACCTCTTTCAAGAGCTCCCTCACCTCATCCATGTCAGAATCTTTTGCAGCCTGGATTAATCTGCTTTGAATCTTCTCTAGCTTGTCTAGCCTCCTATCCCTCGATGCGTCCTTGGTTCGCCAAATAAAACCTGTCATCTTCCAAAGGAGAACGCCCACGTAGATGGCCACGATACAGTCCACACTGTAATGGTGGCGTTCCCGTACTTCTCTCTGGGCACTGTGCATTACTAGTAGCCATATCAGAACTGAGCTAAAACCTCCATAAGCTTCCTACAATCACAACAAAATACAGTAACAGTTCAAGATTTGAAAATTGGGGACAATGAGAATGCAAAAACATTTTATTATGCGCACCGTCCATGCCATAGCTGTGAGTACTGCTACGAGCATATGGCCACTGTATAGGAGGTCGTTGCAGCCGCCTCCAGCCTTTTTCAGAAGATGATACCATGAAGATCCTTCGAAAGCATTGGGTCGCAAGAAATCAATTAAGAAGTTCATTGATCCCCAATCTGGACGGGGATCTTCAATGAAATTTGCAACTTCATCAAAAGCTCTATCAAGATGGATAAGCTGGCGTATAGCGTTGGCATCAGAAACAAAAGGTACATAATATTTTTGAGCCCAACGATGAGGGTATGCAGGGACTCTGAACCGAGTTGATGCACACCAAGGCCGAGCTGATGGCAGAATTGTAGACACAAAAGTTATGGCCCGAAGAAGGCGCCCAATCGCCATGGTGAATATGTATCTTGCACCCAGCCCAAGACCAGGAGCTTTTACAGAGTCAAATAGCACAGAAAATGCCAACATTATAAACAACATCAGGAAATGGTGTAGCCCATCATTGTTGCAGACATGGTGTTCGACGAAATGTCCTAGAGGGATTTTGGGTTTGCTTCGGCGAGGTGGTGAAGAAGAGTGAAGGTATGTGTAGAAAATTCTAGCGGACTAGGTTGAGGTCCGGCGGACGGCTAAGGTGAGGTTGCCGCCCGCCGGTGAAGCGAAAAATACAAAGTTCTTAACCTTGCTCTGATACCATGTAAAAAAACTGATGTATTATTGATTGATGTATTGTTATGTTGTATTACAATGATTCATGATTCCTATATATAGAAGAGGGTGAGTGTGTAGTAGGTAAAAAGTAGGTGAAGTGGAGGTGGTAGTGGTGTAGTGGGTTAGGTTTAGTGGAGTAGGTGAGGTATTGTATGATTGAAAATTCAGGGATTGGTTATGAGATGTGGTTATGAGATATGTGATCAATAGTTATGAGATATGTGATATTTGTTATGATCAAAGTGGTGTTGGTTATGAGATATGTGATTATGATTATGAAATATGTGATGTTAGTTATGACTAAAATGGTGTTGGTTATGAGATGTGGTTATGAAATATGTGATATTAGTTATGAACAAAATGGTGTTGGTTATGAGATGTAGTTATAGCTAAGTTATGATCAATTTGATTATAGTTATGAAGAAATATGATTTTAGCTCATAACTATAAAAAGTGACCTGTTTAGCAGGTCACTTTTAATGACCTGGTTATGAAGTAATATGGTATAAGTAAATAATTGAATATAACTAAGTTATGAGTTAATATGGTGATAGTTATGACTAATATGGTATAGGTTATGATATAAAATCATATAAGTTCATAACTAAATGTATGGTACACCTAAATGTACCATAGCATCACCCGTGATATACATTATTTTTTATAATAAAAAAATTGAATTTTTGTGGTGTTAATTCTAAATTATTGTGGTTACACTATGATAGGAAAAATCATTAAAAAAAATTATGACTATTATCAAAGTCATTATAAACTATTTGGAAAAATTGCAAATCAGGGTCAGTTTTCAAAAATAATTTCAAATTAGTGGTAAACTTTATCAACTTTAATAATTAAAGCTATAAACTCTTTCATGAATTTGCAAATATTTTGTGAAGTTTCAATTGATTTGCAATTTTTCCAAATTATTTTGTTTCTCCTGTTATACTTTGACTACCTCTTCTTTATATATATATATATATATAAAAAAATCTATTTTTTTAACATTTCTTTTCTTAAATAATAATAAAAAAAAATCACTAAAATAATCATTACGTAATAGTTGGTACTTATGAAAAAAAATTATATTAAGAAGAGGATGAGACTCAAAATCCAGATCATGTGTTTGACAAAGAAGACAGTTACCACTTGAACAACTCATACTATGTATATATTTTTCTTTGTCATTTTTCTTATACTATTATCTTTTTCGAATTGCATACGCATTACGTGTACGAACCGCTAATATATATATATATATATATATATCTTCATGCTTGGCCCCTGAAAATGAAATCTTGATTCCATCCATGTCTACTTAGAATAGATAACACTTGAAAATTCAGCCAAACCAACATTGAAGGAAAGTAAAGGCAACGTGACTCTTTGATTTCTTGGGTTGTCTAATGAGTTTTGACATTTATCATGCATTTGTTTTGGTGGAAGCTTAGTATGAAAATTATACATTCAGCAAACAGAGCATAAGCCCGTCACTAATGGCCTAATTAGGCCCACACTAGACCAGGCCCATTGGATTAGATATACGACGCTGAGCGATCTATGTAGGTGACACGTCGAGAAACAATCGCCAACAATTAAAGAGCATTCATGGGTCTTGACATTGTAGTAGGGACATGGGTCTTGACATTGTAGTAATGATGGAAAACTCAATTTACGTAAAGAAATATTTCCACAAGCTCTCTATGTAAGGAAGAGAACTAGAAGAAGAAAGGTATGCACATTCATCCAAACTTAATTGATTCCCAAAATATCTAACCTATCTCATTTCATCTAGAATTTGACTTAATTGTTGGAGTGCTAATTCTGGCATCTTTGATCGGAGTGTTTCTTGTTTCAGGCACCAGAGTGAGGATCAAACAAATGTCTGTTTGGGACGAAGGAATATTGCGAAACCACCCCTCACAGTTTTGATTGTTCATGGAAATTTTATTTGGACAAATGCGAAATGGTGAAACTAATTATAAATCAGTGGAAAATTTTGCTCTAATTATCTGTAGAATTACATATCCCCTATCATTAATTAGAAGTTCAATTATTTTGAAAGCTTAATTGGGCAAAATGATCACATACCAACTGTCAAATAAGAGATACTCTGGAGTATGTTATCTTTTGTGAAGTTGTGATTTGGTTTGAATTTGTATATATTTGTATAATTCTTCTTCTTTGTAGTCAAAACCATAAATTATTTTGGTGTAATTGAACTTTTTCGAAGATCTCCGCACAATATGAATGTCATAAAAATAGAGCTAACAATTGTATGGCAAGAATTCAGATTTCTTGTTTCCAAAATTCTTAATATGTTCTAAACCTTCTCTCAATTGCACAATATGATAAAGTACAAATAGTATAAAAAGGTTTGTGACTAACAAATAAGAGCATGTTCGAGATTGAGAATTTAAACACAGAAAAATATCAACAAAAAAAAAGAAATATATATAGTGTATGATACAGATCTAAGTGTGCATGGATTCCACAATACAAAAATTGAATCTAGGCTAGATATAGTTAATATTTTATGTGTATGGGTTCTTAATCTCTAATATTAGTGGACAAAAATGGGAGTCTATACTCTACTGTGCTATTATATTCTCATTTTGTCAAACTTTTTAATTCACTAGAGAAAGGAGATTTGAAAATCATTTTTCTAATTTTCGGTATATTTTATATGATAGTTCCACTAATAATGTTATGAACACATTATCGAAATATATTAATGAATATGGTTTTCTAAATATAGATTTTCACTAACAAATATTATAAAATTCTGTCTATTCATGTTTCAATAAAAAAAAAAGGATAGAAACATATATGCTTGAATTGATAAAAAAAAAGATAAAAGAAAGCTTTGGGATAAAACAAACATGGGTTGACTAGAACATATGCAGCAATTGGCAACAAAGCTCATTGAATATTCATTATTTAAATTTTAAACTTGGTCTAATTTTTTTAGAGGGTAGATCCCTATCATGAATTAGAAGTTTAGTCCTTTTGAGAGCTTAATTGAATAAGAAATTCACATACCTATAACAAGCCAGAAAGTGTACACTTGGGGGTTGAGAACTCTGCTTTCACCACCAAATGCAGAAACTTTGCCTTTTTTCTGTTTTTTCTTTCTTCCCTTTATCCTTGGCTAAACTGATATATAAATACAAATGAGAGAGAGGGAGAATACTAAGAAGATGAGAGGAAATTTCAAAGAAGAAGACCACAAGTTCAGAAGTCTATCCATGCACAAGGATAGACTGTCGGGGCTGGCAGGGGCCACTCAAGATTTTTTTTTTAAAAAAATTATATTTTTTTAAAATTCTTTTAAAAATTAAAAAAAGTCAAAATAAGCACACACACAAAAAAAATAATAATAATAATAATTCCTCTATTTTTTTGTTTATTTTCTAACGTGACAATGTTCCAAATCAATTCAAATTATCCATTTATGTGAAACCCATATAAAACCCACACAAACAAATAATTTTGGATTCGCTTAAGGGCAATGCTACATGGGACATTGAATAATTTTTGCCAAACACCTATATCTATTGCCTCGATAAATTGTACATGATCACTTGATTGATTGACGGTCTCAATGTAGCAATTGATTTTGGTATCCATCTTTGATATATGCAGAATCTTGCTATGATGTTCATAAAATCTCTTCAAAAGGGTTTGTGTATTTGCTCCGTCTATAATGATCTCTTGACACAGTTTGACATTTTGTTGTTGAGAGGGAGCTGAGGGAAAGACGGAGGGGAAGCGCTGGACATTGTGTTGTAAGGTGAGGGAGGAAACGTTTGCGATGGTCAATGGTCGGTGGTCAGTGTTCCCTGAGAAAGGGTGCAGATGCGCATAGGGATGGCAATTTGAAACCGGCCCAACGGGGATCCCCGATCCCGACCCCGATTTAAGCGGTTTTTCCCCGAAAAATACCCCCGACGGGGAGAAGACGGTATTTGAAAATCAATCCCCGATCTGTTTCGGGCCGGGGACGGTGATCAGTGTTCAAGCCCCGGCCCGGCCCCGTCCCCGTCCCCGTCCCCGGCCCCGGCCCCATCCCCGAGTATCCTCGAAATAAAATTACATTTATACCCTTTATATGTATATATATAATAAACCCCTTAATTATATGTATATATATATATAATATCTGTGATCTCACTCTCTAATCCTTTCTGACTCTACTCTCTCTCTTAACTCTATCGTTCTCTCTGGCCCCGACCCCCTCTCTCTCTCCACTTCATCTCTCTCTATTCTATCTTCCATCTCTCTCTTTCAGTAGATCGAAGGGACAATCGGCGTCGGAGGCGATAACGAAGGGACAGTCGGCGTCGGAGGCAATCGACGTCGGAGGGAAGCAGTCCGATCGTGTACAGGGGGAAGCGTCGGCGTCGGAGGCAGATCTCAAATCTGTTTGTGACACAGATCTCTCTCTTTCTCTCGTCCACTCTCTCTCTCTCTCTCTCTCTCTGTGACACAGATCTCAGATCTGTTTGTGTCCATTTTTTAATCTGTTTGTGTATCTGTCCATTTTTTTTATTTTTTGTTTATAATCTGTTGATATTTTTGTTGAAATGTTGATGTTGGTGTTGATGATTCGGTTAACATTGTCGATGATGATGATTCTGTTGTTGTTGTTGTTGTTGATGATGGGGGTGTTGAAACAGATTTGGAGGCGGGGAATTTTCGGGGTCGGGGAAACCCGATTCCCAGTAGGGGCGGGGATGGGGAGGGTGGTAGGTTCCCCGTCGGGGATCGGGGCCGGGGCCGGGGAGATTTTCACAATCGGGGATCGGGGACCGGGAGGGTGATCCCCGGCCCCGCCCCGCCCCGTTGCCATTCCTAGATGCGCAGACGGAAAGGAAGAGGGGGATTTAGAGGTGTGATCAGATGCGAGAACTTGTATGTATGAGACCAATAAAAGTTGGGTTAATTACACTTACACCCTTTGAGGTTTAATCCAATTACATCACACCTTCTGATGTTCTGAAAATTATATTCTCACCCTTGTAGTCAATAGTCTCATTTTACAAACTCCTGCTTATATAACAAAAAATAAAAGAAATTATATTGGGGAAAGAAAAAAAAAGCAAAGGAAAGACAAAAAAAAAAAAAAAACAAAACAAAACAAAAGAAGTAAAACAAATCAAGAAAAGAGAGATTGTATGAATTTAATATTTTCATTCGGTTTAAATAATTACAATAACAGAGGGGTTAGTGTAATTTCTCAAACGTTAAGAGTGATATGTATTAAATCTAAATCTCAAAGGGTGTAAGTATAATTTACCCAGTAAAAGTTTAGTGGGTCTTTTTTTTTATGCATTGGCAACCTTTAATTGGCTTTCCGTAAACGATAGGTTTATGGGACAGCGGTGGAGTGTATTCTCATTTAGGTTTTGTTTGGAAAGAACTTTTTGAATCTGCCTTTTTAGGTTTTTTTTTGTTATTTTAGCCTGATTTCAAAAGTTTCGTTTGAAATGAATTTTTGGTTTTTTTTTTTTTTTATAGTTTTCCAGAGAGAAAAAGTGAATGATTATGATTTGGATATAACATTTTATCTTATTAATTTTTTAATTTATTTATCTTTTAGTGAGTTAAATTAATCTCAACCATTTTATTAAACATGGGCTTAATATTTGCCCCTATTCTCATACAATTTTCTCTGTATCTCTTTCTCTCATTCTTTTTAGGGAGATTGACTAATAAGTCACATATTTTGGACTTGTAATCAATATAGTATCATATTTTATCTTGTGATCCATTTAAACCTTTTGGATGTGTGATGACTTATTTGCCCGCCACATTACAGGGTCACATATGAAAAAAGTACACTAAAGAGTTTTTATTAGTGTCACATCATACCCACCACGTTAGAGTATCACATTTAGAAAAAATAAACTAAAGAGTTTTTAATTTTTTAGAGTATCACATTATACCTGCCACGTTGGAGTGTCACATGTCACATTTGAAAAAAGTACACTAAGGAGTTTTTAATTTTTTTAGAGTGTCACATCATACCCGTCATGTTGTCACGTTTGAAAAAAGTACACTAAGGAACTTTTATTTTTTTCGAAGTATCATATCATACCCGCCTCGTTGTCACATTTGGAAAATATACACTAAGGAGTTTTTATTTTTTTTGGAGTAAAAGTTTTGGAGTATCACATCATACCCACCACATTGTCACATTTAAGAAAAATAAACTAAGGAATTTTTAATTTTTTTAGAGTGTCACATCATTAGAGTGTCACATTAATACCTGACACATTAAATTAACACATCATACCTGTCACATTAATAAAAAGGTATAACTGCCTACCAAAATACTAACAAAATAAAAAATAAGATCACACGGAAAGAAACACTCCACTAATAAGACTTAACAGATCAATAGAAAAAATTTAGAACTAATTAGAGTACTTATTTGTGAGATAAAATTTATTGATAAACATCCTTTCTTTTTATTTGTTTTAGTTCTCTCATCTCATGTATCTTCTGATTCTTATTTATTTTAGCCCTCCCACATTTGTTACAAAAATAAATAAATAAATAAATAACAACTGCAATTTTTTGAAATAAATTATTTATTTTTTTTATGACAAATGCTATAAAAAAAAATTGTGTATATTATTCAGATTTTGGAAAGCAGGTCCCATTACAAATATGCAAGCTGCTTCAAAATAGGAAAGAAAATAAATTATTTATTTTTTTATGACAAATGCTATAAAAAAAATTGTGTATATTATTCAGATTTTGGAAAGCAGGTCCCATTACAAATATGCAAGCTGCTTCAAAATAGGAAAGAAAATTTCATCCGAACGAAGGAAAAAAAAAATTATCTTAAAAAAAAAATTAATTACAAAACCAATCACCTAAATTTTTTTTTAATCATACATATTAATGGCGAGACCTTTATAAAAGATACAATTACACTATTGATTTGGTATTAGTTTTGTATTCATTGAATTATTTAGGGTAAACTACACTTTACATCTTTACCCTTTATACCAAATCTCATTTTGGTCCTTACACATAAAATTATGACAGTCAATCTCTTGCACTTTTGGTCAAATCTCACTTTAGTCTCTACACATGAAATTATGACAGTCAACCCCTACACTTTTACTCAAATTTCACTTTAGTCCCTACACAAGCGTCAATGTTCCTCTTCTGTTACTTCATTTTAAAATTTTTAATAAAATCCAATCTTATGATAAAAATGTGATTACGAAATAAGGGTAAAAGATGAAAATTATTTATGTTTTCCACTAATCACTACAAGAAATGTCATTTTTGGCTACTAAAATATTGGTCGCCAAAAGTCCAATATTTGGCCGCTGAAACGATTTAACGACTTAAATATTTTGTCACCAAACTCGTCGCCTATACCCTGTCGGTGATAGTATTGGCGACTAAACTTTGTTTGGTCACCAAAAGTGACTACATTTCGCTACTAAATTTGTTTAGTCCGCAAATGTTATGTTTCCGCCACTAAAACCTTTAGTTGCCAAATGAGACTTTTGGCTACTAAAGTTCGTGTGGTCGGGGAAGGTGTCAGTTTTAGCTACTAAAGAATTGGTCACCGAAAGTGCACATTTGGCTACGAATTATTTAGTCGGCAAAACGAGATTTTGGCGACTAAATTGTTAGTCACTAAAAGTGCTACCATAAAATGAGAATGACTATTATAGACCAAACATTTTGGTCACCAATAGAATACATATTTTTAGCAACTAAGTAATTTTTATCGTTGTAACTTTTGCCCACTAAAAGTTTCATAGCGAAAAGCCTCTTAACATTCACTTCTTCACTTTTTGCCACCAAATGTTTTAATCGCCAAATGATACCATTTTTTTTCCATGACTAAAAAATTTAGTGGCCAATAGTTTTTTTCTCTCATTCTCAATTGTTTTAGCTACTAATTATTTGGTCGCAAAAACTTTTTGGGTTTTGTTTTTGCTACTAAATTATTAGTCACCAAAACATTTGATTACGTATTTGGCTATCAAAATATTTGGTGGCCAAATACTTTAACGTGTTTTTTTTTTTTAAAAAAAAAAATTCTAAACAACCTGTATCCATTATTAATACAACATGTACCATGTATAAACAATATAATCCATCAACACTAAATATGTTATCAAGCATTCAACAACGTGCACACATTTCAGTTCCAACCATCCAAATAATTAATATTGAACGTCCAATTATATATATATATTACAAATTCCATAAGAACCAAGTCTAATCCAACGTCAATAATTTAATTCCATGCATAATACAGGAATAACCAAATTAATTGTACACCTAGAACTTCTGTACCACAACAAAAATTATATTCCGTACTGCCCCAAAACTATTTTGTACCATGTGCTATGTTAATTTCTACCATGCCAACTTTGCTGATATTTACCACACCAAAAAAGTAATTTTTACAAACCACTATATATACGAATAGAGATATAAAAACAATGCCCTCTCGTACTTGTCAAAAAAAACATATCCACATTTGTATGTCCAAAAACATCTGCAAAAAAACAAAAAAAATCATTAGTTTGGTGCGTATAGAGGCACTTCTGGACGACATATATATATTGTAATAATTTCAAACATTAAAAGACAAGGAGAGTAATAGCTATTAACTAATGAAAGACATCCAAACATGGACCCATCATGAGTTATTGTTTTAGCTTTTTAATCTCTAAATCTATCTAAGTAAATTTTAGTAGTTAAATGTGAACGTAAACTGTGTAGGTATTACCAAATTTCAAAAATTATGGGTGTACTTACCATTTCATCCAAAAATTATTTGTTATAAAAATGTAAGAGGACCCATCATTAGAGTTTGTCTGGTATCCATAAAACTCAATACTAGCCCTACAATAAAGAAACCTGAATTAAGCAATTTGTAAAGGCAAGGAGATTGTGTTGGTTATCATGAAGATGGTGTTTTCACTATGCTTATGCTTTTGTGACCACCATGAAGCTTCCCATTATGTTAAAACAGTGCTTTTGTGACCTCCATGGATGGAAGTTGGTGTGTACTTTTTCTTTATAAAAGATTCTAATTTATTCGATATAATCATAGAAAGTTTGGAAACGCTTTCCTTAAAGAAGAACTAAGTCAACAATGTAATGAAATCATAATACTGTTTATTTCTATTTAACTAATTAGTGGGTTTATAGATGTTACATATACTTTTATTTGTGAATGAGTAATGCCTTGGGTTCTTTACAGGCTTATGGGGACAAAAGCTGAAAAAGATTATGCTTAACTATTCTTCCATAACACCATCTAATTTTGATAGGTATCTTCAATACTTAGCTTCTTTAGTCCTAAGTTCCTTGATCTGTTGCTAAGGAACTACCCTCCCATCAGCCAAATCTTGAGGCCATGTTATATGAATTGTCTACTATTCAACTGTTGTTGCACATTTTGTAGTGGTGATAGTTAAACTGACCAAATACACAATTGCGCCTAAACCTTACCTGAACTTTACAAATTCATTATTCGAATTTCCAACCGATTAGGTCAACAGAATATATCATTCGTCACATTTAGTTCTTGCAAAATGGTGCCCCCCGAACCCTTTTTTTCGACTAAGTTTATGACATTTCCAACTCTAACTCCCAATGTACTTGTCCTACTTACGTATCGTCTGTCCCTGCATGTCGCATTTGTCACTGGGAAGCTTCCCGTTACGTAAAAACAGTGGTTCGGGGGCAGTTTTGCATTTTCGCCCCCTGAACCCCTTTTTTCGACTAAGTTTATGACATTTTCAACACTAACTCCCAACGTACATGTCCTACTTACGTACCGTCTATCCCTACATGACACATTTGTCACCGGGAAGCTTCCCGTTACAAAAAAACAGTGGTTCGGGGCTTGTTTTGCATTTTCCCAGCCCGAACCCCTTTTTTCGACTAAGTTTATGACATTTTCAACTATATTCTATGCTTTTGGTTGCGTTAAATATGCTTGGTTCTACTACAAGATTGTAAAATTAAGCTTGCTGATTGACACACAGGAGTGGAGATAAATTCACTCTTCGGTTAAACTAGCCTATACCCGGGTTCGAGGTGGCTCGACCCGGGGGGTTCCATGAGACTCGGCAATATTTTGCGGCAGGACGTCCTCTGGGACTACCCCTGACCCTTTGGGATGATTGGGGCCAAAGGGTCAGGGGTAGTCCCAGAGGACGTCCTGCCGCAAAATATTGCCGAGTCTCATGGACCCCCCGTGGTCGTGCCACCTCGACCCGGGTATAGGCTAGTTTAACCGAAGAGTGAATTTATCTCCACTCACCGTCTTCGGGATCGGGTCCTTTGTTCGGACTCCATTACGCCCATGGTTCTGGTGCGTAGATCCCGGAAAGCTCCGAGCCCGCAAGTGTTCTGGGACTCATTAACGGAGCGACTTCTAGATTGCGTCTGAATCCGTTCGAAGCCAAGTACTTCGGATCTCTAGATTCGTGGATCCGAATCCTTTCGAGTCCGAGTGCCTCGGATCTCTAGGCTTGCTTAATACCCTTTCGAGTCCGGGCCCGAGTAAGTCTCTAGGTTCATGGATCCGAACCCTTTCGAGGCTTAGAGTGATTCAATCCGTTTGATGGCGACAAATCTGGGCCCACCGATTCTTGGACTTGCAATAAATTCGGGCCCACTAATCTTGGGCTATTGGGCCTAAATAATTTAGTGGGCTCAAATTAGCCCCTCTTACAGATGGAAAACTCAATTTACGTAAAGAAATATCTACACAAGCTCTCTATGTAAGAAAGAGAACTAGAAGAAGAAAGGTATGCACATTCATCCAAACTTAATTGATTCCCAAAATATCTAACCTATCTCATTTCATCTAGAATTTGACTTAATTGTTGGAGTGCTAATTCTGGCATCTTTGATCGGAGTGTTTCTTGTTTCAGGCACCAGAGTGAGGATCAAACAAATGTCTGTTTGGGACGAAGGAATATTGCGAAACCACCCCTCACAGTTTTGATTGTTCATGGAAATTTTATTTGGACAAATGCGAAATGGTGAAACTAATTATAAATCAGTGGAAAATTTTGCTCTAATTATCTGTAGAATTACATATCCCCTATCATTAATTAGAAGTTCAATTATTTTGAAAGCTTAATTGGGCAAAATGATCACATACCAACTGTCAAATAAGAGATACTCTGGAGTATGTTATCTTTTGTGAAGTTGTGATTTGGTTTGAATTTGTATATATTTGTATAATTCTTCTTCTTTGTAGTCAAAACCATAAATTATTTTGGTGTAATTGAACTTTTTCGAAGATCTCCGCACAATATGAATATCATAAAAATAGAGCTAACAATTGTATGGCAAGAATTCAGATTTCTTGTTTCCAAAATTCTTAATATGTTCTAAACCTTCTCTCAATTGCACAATATGATAAAGTACAAATAGTATAAAAAGGTTTGTGACTAACAAATAAGAGCATGTTCGAGATTGAGAATTTAAACACAGAAAAATATCAACAAAAAAAAAGAAATATATATAGTGTATGATACAGATCTAAGTGTGCATGGATTCCACAATACAAAAATTGAATCTAGGCTAGATATAGTTAATATTTTATGTGTATGGGTTCTTAATCTCTAATATTAGTGGACAAAAATGGGAGTCTATACTCTACTGTGCTATTATATTCTCATTTTGTCAAACTTTTTAATTCACTAGAGAAAGGAGATTTGAAAATCATTTTTCTAATTTTCGGTATATTTTATATGATAGTTCCACTAATAATGTTATGAACACATTATCGAAATATATTAATGAATATGGTTTTCTAAATATAGATTTTCACTAACAAATATTATAAAATTCTGTCTATTCATGTTTCAATAAAAAAAAAAGGATAGAAACATATATGCTTGAATTGATAAAAAAAAAGATAAAAGAAAGCTTTGGGATAAAACAAACATGGGTTGACTAGAACATATGCAGCAATTGGCAACAAAGCTCATTGAATATTCATTATTTAAATTTTAAACTTGGTCTAATTTTTTTAGAGGGTAGATCCCTATCATGAATTAGAAGTTTAGTCCTTTTGAGAGCTTAATTGAATAAGAAATTCACATACCTATAACAAGCCAGAAAGTGTACACTTGGGGGTTGAGAACTCTGCTTTCACCACCAAATGCAGAAACTTTGCCTTTTTTCTGTTTTTTCTTTCTTCCCTTTATCCTTGGCTAAACTGATATATAAATACAAATGAGAGAGAGGGAGAATACTAAGAAGATGAGAGGAAATTTCAGAGAAGAAGACCACAAGTTCAGAAGTCTATCCATGCACAAGGATAGACTGTCGGCGCTGGCAGGGGCCACCCAAGACTTTTTTCAAAAAAAAATTATATTTTTTTTAAATTCTTTTAAAAATTAAAAAAAAAAGTCAAAATAAGCACACAAAAAAAAAAAAAAAAAAAAACTTTTTTTTTTTTTTTTTTTTTAAACTGGTTATTTTGTAACGTGACAATATTCCAAATCAATTCAAATCATCCATTTATGTGAAACCCACAAACAAATAATTTTGGATTCGCTTAAGGGCAGTGCTACATGGGACATTGAATAATTTTTGTCAAACACCTATATCTATTGCCTCGATAAATTGTACATGATCACTTGATTGATTGATGGTCTCAATTTAGCAATTGTTTCTGGTATCCATCTTTGATATATGTGTTGGAAATGGTAGAAAAATTCTGGATAAAATTAGAATTTTTTTTCAAGTTTGGTCTATTTTTTAGGCGGGTCCCGAGTGTCGTTTTACTCGGGTCAAAGTGGTAACTCGTTCTATGCCGCGTTGTAATTCACGTGGTATATTTGGTTGCTCAAAACCATTACCGAGTGAATGGAAAATTGAAGCCAAAGTGTGCTCCATGGAAATGGAGTTTTGGTGGAAATTCCTTAAGGTTGTAAATTGGCTTGTCCCACATTGATTTGGTGGGAAGTTTTGAAAGGGTTTATAAGGCTTGGGTTTGATACTTGGGGTGTGTCCCAAGGGATACCCAAGTGTGTTAGAGGGAGAGGTTATGGACAAAATGGGCTAGACCCATTGGACCCAAAAATCACCACACACGCGCGCCGCCGTCCGTCCGGTTGGGCTTCTAATCTTTTTGGGCCAAAAACATTTGAATTTAATTTTATTTTTTGGTAAAATAAAATCCAGAATTCAAATTAAACTGATTTGGATTTTCTGTACATCCAAACAGGGCCCTTCCCGTTTTCAAACAGAATTCAACTGATTTGGATTTATTGCTCATCCAAACAGAGCCCTTCTCGTTTTTATCTGTTTGAATAAATTAACCCAACAGATTTAAATCTGTTCAAATTTCAAAACCAACAGGTATCATACCTGTTCAATTCAAAACCAAGAGTCACCTTTACATCTATAAATAGGACCACCCTCATTTGATGTTAGATTCATTCACAAATTTCGTACTCCATTCTCTGCAAATTATATTCTTCATCTTGCTGCATTTTATTTCTGAAAGAAAGAGTGCAAACACTTAGTGTGTTCGTAAGGCAAACAATTTGTAGTGCTGCTATTGTTTGTGGTAAGATCATTTCATCCTGGGAGATAGACGTCCAAATTCTGAAAGCACCGTGGAGAGGACGAATCTGTCTTAAGGACACAGTGTCAAACACTGGACTTGATCAGAAAAGTTATTCAAATAAATTAACCAAGTAAGTTGTTTAATTTAATTCTGTTTTTATTTGTTTATTTAATCAGATTTTAATTTTGTTTTTGTAACAAAATAAAATCTGTGGTTTTATTTATTTATTTTTATTTCGAGTTTGATTTTTGTAATCAAACATATTCTCTCCTTTTCTCTATTTCTTTTATTCTTGTTGTTGTTTTGTACACAACAGAATTTAATCTTTTTAAATACAGTGAAGATTGTCCAACAATATGTAGAATCTTGCTATGTTGTTCATAAAATCTCTTCAAAAGGGTTTGTGTATTTGCTCTGTCTATAATGATCTCTTGACACAGTTTTACATTTTGTTGTTAAGAGGGAGCTGAGGGAAAGACGGAAGGAAAGGGCTGGACATTGCGTTGTAAGGTGAGGGAGGAAACGGTTGCGATGGTCAATGGTCGGTGGTCAGTGTTCCCTGAGAAAGGGTACAGATACGCAGACGGAAAGGAAGAGGGGGATTTGGAGGTGTGATCAGATGCGAAAACTTGTATGTATGAGAACAATAAAAGTTGGGTTAATTACACTTACACCCTTTGAGGTTTAAGGGTCATGCTTGGTAGCTCGAAAGAGCTACACCCCGAATCCCCCGAATTTGCAGAAAATAGAAGAAGGAGAAGGAAGAAGGAGGAGGAGGAGGAGGGGGAAGAAGAAGAAGAAGAAGAAGAGAAGGGAGGAGGAGGAAGCCGAAGGACTGGAGGGGGCCAAATAAATCGGCGTGTGGAGGCAGAGGCGGGAGGCGGGGGGCGGAGAAGGAGGCAGAGGCAGTGGCTGCGACGGCGGGCGACGAGCTCTTCCCTGCGACGGCGAGAAGCTCTTCCCTGCGACCTGCGACGAGCTCTTCTCTCCCTCTCCCTCTTTCTCTTTCTCTTTCTCTCCCTCTCCCTCTCCCTCTATCTCAGAGCTGCGTGAAGAAGAAGAAGAAGAAAAATAAAATAAAATAAATAAATAACGCCCA